AATTCACACACGCCGGAGGAGCAGCAGCGAGGCACACACCCCCATCCCCATGTGACGGATTCATGGTGGTGAGAGGACGACGAAGCAGCCGCAGCAGCAGCAGAGCATCATAGTTATCATATAAGTAGAGAGGTGCCGGCGCCATTCTTCCTCTCCCCGGAGACTCTGAGCCAGCCAGCGAGCGAGCAGCAGGACGGAGGAGGCGGCGGTGGTGGTGCAGAGCGAGATGGGGACGGGGTGGCGGAGGGCGCTGTGCACGTCGGTGAGCCGGGACGACAGCGACGGCGGGAGCGCCAAGCGCCGCCCGCCGCCGGCGCGCGGCGACGCGCCGGCGACCCCGCGGAAGCTGGCCTTCTTCTCCGGCATGGGCGGCGGGGGTGGGGGGAGCAACCCGCCGGCCCCCGCGCTGCGGTGCCGCACGAGGCCGACGGCGGAGCCGGAGAGCGTGGCGCCCATGACGCCGCCGCAGCCGGCGTCGGCGCCGGTGTCGGCCAGGAAGCGGGTGCCGCTGCTGCAGGCCATCTCGGCGCCGTCCTCGCCCAGATCCCCCTCCAGATTCGCGCTCTTCAAGGCCTCCATCCTCCCCACCAAGGTAAACATCCAGCCAAAGACCCCATTTTCCTCCCCCCACCCCTCCCTCGCTGTCTTCTTCCTCCGAATGCAGTGTGGTTATCGTGCTGCTTGTCGCTTGCAATGGCGGGTGGCGATCGGCGATCCCCATTCCCGTCTCCCAGTGCAGAGCATGGGGATCAATCATTGCTCTGTTTTGTCCTAATCCCCATTCATTCATCTTGAGATTCGATTCGATTCGATTCTGCTCCTGATTATCCAATTATTATTATAACCGCAGCAGCTTTCCAATCCCCACTTCTATCTTCTGTTTTGTTTTGTTTTTCATTCCGTGCCACCTTTTCATCTTCTTCTTCTCCTTTCCATCATTCCGCGGGCGAGATCTCCTTTACACACCCCCCCAATTTGGCTACGCTGCACTACAAACGATCTCTCCAAGTTGTTCTCCGAGAACATTGTTCCAATCTCATCATTTGGGGGAAGATGATGATGATGGATGCAATCGTGCGATGGAAGAGCAAGGACAAGATAAAAAGGCTGCTCTGCTCCCCCTTTGTGTCAAGTGAAAGAAAGAGTGGGGAAAAGCTGATTCGGATCGGATCGGATCGGATCAGAGCCAGCTTTATCCCGATTCTGATTTGAGCAGCCGCCCAAAAAGAACGAACGAACGAAAATCTTTTCCTCATCCCGATGTTGCTTTACTTCATGATGTTCATAAATATTTCTTCTTCTTCGTCTTCTTCTTCCATGGAGCGGGTGATTGATCGGTTTTTGGTTGCAGGCGCGGTGCGGCGTGTGCACGCGGGGCGTCAAGAACGGCGGCGGCGCGGCGGTGTTCACGGCGGAGTGCTCCCACTCCTTCCACTTCCCCTGCATCGCGGCGCACGCGCGCGCGGCCGCCTCCGGCGCGCTCTGCTGCCCGGTCTGCTCCGCGCCGTGGCGCCAGGCGCCGTTCCTCGCCTCGCTCCGCCTCCACCTCGACGCCGACGGCTCCCCGCACCGCAAGCACAGGACCTCCGACGACTCCCGCAAGACGGCGCCGGTGACGGCCAAGGCCGCCGGCGTGCCCAAGGTGTACGACGACGACGAGCCGCTGCTGGCGCCCAAGTCCGCCGCCAACGGCAGCGGGTTCAACCCGATCCCGGAGGCCGACGAGGACGGCGACGAGGGCGAGGGCGAGGGCGAGGAGGCCGGCCGGGAGGGCGAGTTCCGGGGCTTCTTCCCGCACCCGCCGCGGGTGCGGACCGGGCTGGCGGTGACAGTCGCGCCTGAGGCCGCGCTGGTGTCGTCCGGGCGGAGGCACGGCAAGTACGTGGTGGTGGTGAAGGTGAAGGCGCCGGCGCTGCGGTCGTCGGCGTCGCGGCGCGCGCCCATCGACCTGGTGACGGTGCTGGACGTGAGCCAGGGCATGATGGGGGAGAAGCTGCAGATGCTGAAGCGCGGGATGCGGCTGGTGATCGCGTCGCTCGGCCCCGCCGACCGGCTCTCCCTCGTCGCCTTCTCCGGCGCCGCCAAGCGGCTGATGCCGCTGCGGCGGATGTCGCGGCAGGGGCAGCGGTCGGCGCGGCAGATCGTGGACCGCCTCGTGGTGTGCGCCGCCGCGCAGGGGCAGGAGCAGCAGGCGCAGGGCGCCTGCGCCGGCGACGCGCTGCGCAAGGCCACCAAGGTCCTCGAGGACCGCCGCGACCGCAACCCCGTCGCCACCGTCATGCTCCTCTCCGACACGCAGCAGCAGCAGCAGCAGCAGGACGCGAGGAAGCACGGCGACCACCACCACGCCCTGCGCCGCCCGCAGCCGGCTCCGGCGGCGGCGGCCACGCGGTTCACCCACGTCGAGATCCCCATCGCCGGGCCCGGGCCGGCCGACGACGCGCCGGCGCGGTCGCCGCTCGCGCCCAAGCAGGAGGAGCAGCTGGAGTCGAGCGCCCCCGCGGAGCACGCCTTCGCGAAATGCCTGGGCGGCCTCGTCAGCGTGGTGATGCAGGAGGTGCACCTGGAGCTCGCCTTCCCGACGGGGGAGATCACGGCGGTGTACTCCTGCGGCGCCGGGCAGCAGGCCGTGGCCCTCGCGGGCGGCGCCGGCGGCAGCGGCGGGTCGGCCCTGAGCGTGCGGCTCGGCGAGATGTACGCGGAGGAGGAGCGGGAGCTGCTGGTGGAGCTGCGGGCGCCGCTGGGCGCGCACCCGCACGCGCTGTCCGTCCGGTGCGCGTACCGCGACCCGGCGTCGCAGGAGACGGTGCGCGGCGCCGAGCAGCCGCTGCTCCTGCCCCCGCTCCACGACGGCGGCGGCGGGGGGAGCTCCACGTCCTCCTCGCAGCAGCGGCTCCACGACCTGTTCGTGGCGACCCGCGCGGTGGCGGAGTCGCGGCGGCTGGCGGAGCTGGGCGACTTCTCGACGGCGACGCACCTGCTGTCCTCCGCGCGGCGGCTGGTGCTGCAGTCCCCGCCGACGCAGCAGCAGCAGGACCTGCTGGGCGGCCTGGACACGGAGCTGGGCGACATGCGGTGGCGGCGCGGCCAGCAGCAGCCGCCGACGCCAACATCCCGGTCAGCGACGCCCTCCGGCACGCCGCGAGCATCATCGGGCGGCGGAGGAGGGGGCGGAAGCGAGCCGCTGACGCCGACGTCGGCGTGGCGCGCGGCGGAGCAGCTGGCGAAGGTGGCCATCATGCGCAAGTCCATGAACCGGGTGAGCGACCTGCACGGCTTCGAGAACGCGCGCTTCTGACGGCGGTGGTCGACGGTCGATCTGTAACGACGAGGTGGAGGTTGTTTTTTTGTTTTTGGTTTGGTTTTGTGAATCGGTCGTGAAGTTGAAGTTGACGAAGAAGACGAAGACCCTGCCGGAGTGCGGCGGTGGACGGACGGGCGGGCGGCTAGAGGCGGGAGCCGCCATTGTTGTTAATTAAAAGATTAGTAGCCAAGTGAAATACTACTAGGATCATCCATGATATTGCTTTTTTTTCCTTTCCTTTCCTTCCTGTTAATTACTCCATGTTTTTCCCCTAGTAATTATAAGACTTGATTCATTCTTGATCTGAGCTTGTCCATGGCAATTGGTCCTCCATGTTTGTAGTATGCTTGTACCCATCCCTCTCCTCTCTGCACACATTTTTCTTGTTCTCTGAAGAAGAAGAAGAAGAAGAAGAAGAAGAAGAAGAAGAAGAAGAAGAAGAAGAAGAAGATGAAGAAGAAGAAGAAGAAGAAGATACTCTGCCCCATTGTTTTGTAACTGCATCCATCCAGCATAGATAGATGGATGAACCATTGACTGAATCGAGCTGCAGTCCAGGAGAAGCTCTCTCTGCACTGCACCCTACACCAGTTTCACTGTTGTCTGACGGTTGCTGATCACCCGTCCGTCCATCAGCTCTTTTCTTTTTCTTGTGCCGTTACAGTCGCCCAATGTTGACCCTGCTGCAGAGTGAGAATGACCTGGTGGAGTGGTGGGTGCCGATCACTGAACCTGAACTACCCACCATACTTAACCATGTTGATCCTGGAGATCCCCTGACCCTGACCTGCACCAAGGTGCTGTGTGTGGGTGTGGGTTGAAATGACAATCCATGGAGGTGATGGTGACTTGGCGAGCGAGTGATCCATGCATGCATCTCGTGTGTTCCTTGCGTGTTTGCATCAGGGCATGATAGGATAGGGGTCAAAGATAGTAGATAGATAGATAGATAGGTAGGGGGATGTTTAGGAGCAGTGGAGTGATTGGGTGGAGCAAGGGAAAGGTCAAGGGATGGATGTGAATTGCAAGGGCCATGTTACCACGTGGAGACATCACCACACAGACACAGTTACAGTTAGGATTCACAGTGTGTGCAGGCTCATCACATCAATTCATTCATCTTCTTCCTCTTGGCATTGTTCCTTTGTGCATGCCCTAACAACAGTTGGGCTTGTCCTGGAATGTGGAGTGGACGGACTCTTGGTTCTGGTCACAGTGGCCACAGTGCACACCGCACAGTGGCGCCTCCGTTCTCTTCTCCCATGGCAGGGCATGAGCATGAGCACACTGTTGCAGGTACTGCGTGCTGCTGCTGCCTCCCAACGGATCCGATCCGGCCGCTTGTCTGCACCCCACACCCACAGGGCACACATCTCCTTCTCAACAATAAAAAACATACCTATTTCTCTGTCTTTTTTCTCTCTGGATTTTCAAAAAAAAAAAAGAAAAAACGGTTACTCCCTCCCATGATATTAGAGCGTTTTTCAACACGCAGTGCAGTGTTCTGCATTTGTACAATCGTGGAGCTTTGCAAAATTCAGAGCTTTCTCTCCAACAGGCGACACCTCAAGGCCGAACCGTCGAGCAAAGAAAAAACACAGAGGTGAATGCTCTCCACGCGACCGAGCACCGTCATCGGGTTTGCGCGCGACGCTCGTGCTAGGGCGGATCGTGGCCGCGACACGGCAGCAGCTCCTCCATACAAACAACATGCATACACGGTTGAGAGAGAGAGAGAGGGCGACGCTGAAAACGCACATTC